ATAGATTATATGCATATCTATTAAAGTTGATCTACGTATGTAAAAAGTAGGTAGCTGATCAGGAAGTCTAAGCCGGTTTCAATCAAATGTAAAAATTAACAATTTCTGAACGAATTTTGCATTTGGAAAAAACGAAAATATGGCAACTTCGCATGCTTTCATCAACTTAGATTTAAAATTATTCACGCATCCCTAGTAACACGCTGACTGACAAGTTTGTATCTTGAGGATATGGGTGGTTTCACGATAACTGTAATAGTTTTGTCGCCGTAACAGACAACACATTTTTGGTCATATTTTTAGTAGAAATGATAATCACTCGAATTTTTTCGCATTAATCTTCAAAGGGTTACGTATTATAACGCTTTCTAATGATTTATTGCTCCGTGTCTCAATTTGGTAGGTAATATTATGTAAATTCCGAAAATGTGCCGTCTGTTACGCGGTGAAAAGTCAGCGTAACAGACAACACATTTTCGGCCATTTATATATTAAAACTAGCCGCCGTGGCTCGCTTCGCTCGCCTCGCGTCTATACCCTTGTAGCAACGGTTCGTGAAAAACTCGTAAAAAAAATGTAAAGAACTTGTGAATTTCATTAACACATAAAAAACTCGTAAAAAAGTTGTAAAAGAAAGAAGTTTTTTACAAGTTTTCGTTTTTATGTAAGAAACTCGTAAAAAACTTGTAAATAACTCATAAAATTTACTTTTTATTTACAAGTCAGCTTTCAAAACTTTGACTCGTAAAAAACTCGTAAAAAACTTGTAAATAACTCATAAAATTTACTTTTTATTTACAAGTCAGTTTTCAAAATTTTGACTCGTGAAAAACTTGTAAAATACTTGTGAATAACTCATAAAATTTACTTTTTCTGAAAATCTGACCAAAAATACGAGTTTCCCGTCGTAAAGTACCCACGGATACCGAGTTTCACGAAAATCGAGCGAACAGGAGCTGACTTAGCATTTTAGGCCACGGCCGCCATCTTGGATTTTGAAATTTTGAAAATCTGACCAAAAATTCGAGTTTCCCGTCGAAAAGTACCCCCGGAAACTGAGTTTCACGAAAATCGAGCGAACAGGAGCCGACTTTGCATTTTAGGCCACGGCCGCCATCTTGGATTTTGAAATTTTGAAAATCTGACCAAAAATTCGAGTTTTCCGTCGAAAAGTACCCCCGGTCAGAAAGTTTCAAGTAAATCCGTCGATAAATACCCCCTAAAACCTGAAATTTCATCTATAATGCTGTGACGTCACGCGACAGGATTGAACCTGTTGAAATCTCGGTACAGTAGCTTTATATAATTCATACTTTCTAGGTATTTTAAAGGACAAAATACGAGGGCTGAAAAATAACTTTACGGATGAAACTTAGAAAGTTTTAGTTTCGAAAAGGTTTAAGTGCTCTGAATGAAGTAATAAGGACGAAGAACAAGCTGCATAACTACTAGTCGCTCCTAGAAGGGTTTGTAGGGATATTTCGACCTCGCTCTTCATCAGCAGCTATAGCTCAGTTGGTAGAGCGCTCGGCTGTGAATCCAGTCGCCGCGCGCCGTGGGTTCGAATCTCCACAGGTCCGCTCGAGATTTTACGCCGCATCATCTCTCGATTGGTGAGTCAAAGTGTTTAGTGTGTGTCTCTCGTCTCTCTAATTAACTTGTGTAATACTTGTATGTACTGAATAAACCACTAAATAGTTGATGATGTGTGAAAAGAAAACTTGTACTCTTCACAAGTAGAGTGCGCTCCTGATCAATTTTTGGTATTATCTAACATGAGTTTCTCACTTATTTTTCATAAGCTTTTTACGTAAAAAACTCGTGAAATGATTCCCAATTCGTCAACTGGGAACTTTTTTTTACGAGTTCTTTACGAGTTCTGTATATGTTGCGCATCTTCATTTCACAATGTTTTCAATTTTTTTTTACAAGTTTTTCACGATCCGTTGCTACAAGGGTAGTCGGGTGCTCCGCTCCCTAGACCCCCGGCCACTCGCTTCGCGAGTGACTTACGGCTCGCAAGCGAGCCGTTTTCCATGCCGTAAGATAAAACAATGTAATCCAACAAGAACGCTTTTCTGAATACATGAATTCGAGAGGCATATTCCTCCGTAAAATCCCGCGAATACAGATGCACAATAGTATCGCCCTGTGTCAGACACTCAAAAATCGCAAATGTTCCGTAAAAAGAAAAGAAAAATTGAGTAGATTTCGCTAATTATTATCCATGATCAACCAACACGATGATAAAAGAACGTATCTGGAGGAAACAAGTTTATAGTAGTCTCGCACTGGGTTGGACACTAAAAAACCAAGAATGTTCCGTGGTAAAAGAAAATAGAGAGCTGAATGAAGTGAATATGAGTGAAAGAAAAATGAGAATATTTTCAAGTTATCATAATCTGATATCTTTACTAGGTATCTTCAAATACTCTAAAAATAATTGTTATAAAATATCAACTCGTACTGACATCTTGTATAATATTTTCAAGTTAATGAGTGTTTAAAAGATATTTTTTACATACATTTATGGAATTTCCAGCATTTCTTTAATGATATCCGTGTGAATACGCAGACTGAATATCTGAGTTGATATTCGGTAGCAGGTAGCAAATCAGAAGTTCATCTTTCAGATTTCATTACTGATGTTGAAAATAATTGTTCAGAGCCAAAACTGAAATGGTAAGATTTTGAGGAGGTTTTACAACGACATCTTCAAGATATCCCCTAACTTTGTTCCGACGTAATTAGTCAGATCAGCATAGGTATAAATGTTTGTGTTTTAAATCTCCGATGAGGCACTTCAAAAATAAGAATGTCATCATTGTGATGAAATCTCAGGTATCAAGTTAATTATAGCTTCAGAATATCGTATTACGATAGCTTCAGAATATCGTATTACGATAGCTTCAGAATATCGTATTACGATAGCTACCGAAGCGGTCCGTGCAAAACGGGCCGTCTCACGCTCGTGTCGGATACCATTGAAACTTGCCCTATTCATCCATCTAACAATGCCCCATGTTTCCCCAAAGTTTCAAGTCCCCAAAAATTTTGGGAGAAGTGGCGGGGGGTCAAAGTTGAAAATCACCGAAATTTTCGCGAATTTTTTACTCAAAAACTACTGAATATTGCAAAACGCGGTTCTAACGAACGTTTTCAGCGTGAAAAGAGCTTTCAGAAAATGTATAATATCATAGGGTTTTGTCCTACCTATATGTCTTTACCGTATCTTGGGGAGATGTTTTGTTCGCGAGTTGTAAGCGCGGAAAGAAGCGGAAGTCGGGAAAATCGGCTATTTTAATTAAACTGCGCGCGGCAACGGATCAGGAGACATGTGGCAATAGAGTCCCTTTATACTGAGAGTCAAGACAACACCCCTCATGCAGTCACAAACGGGAATAAAGATTACAGAAATTGAACGTTCTTTGTAATCTTTGATCGGCCCATTCTTAAATTCCTTTCTCCGTTCCTTCTCTCATTCCGTTTGTTCCTTGCCGAACCCGTAATTCCCTGGTCCATTCCAGATTATAATCTTTGCAATCGGTGAAAATATAATCTTTATTCCCGTTTGTGACACTGTGAAGGCCTAAAATACGGGAACCAATCAGAAATGGATTCACAATTGTCTTGACTCTCAGTATAAAGGGACTCTAATGTGGCAACAATGCGAGGTCGGCAGAGGAGTGTGATTCGCTGAACTGAGCAGGAGGGGGCGTTCTCCTTCCAACCCATGCGACGCGCGCAGTTCAAAATAGCCGATTTTCCCGACTTTCGCTTCTTTCCGCGCTTAGGTATGACTCGCGAACAAAACATTTCCCCTGGGTACGGTAAAGACATGTAGAGACGTAATTTGTTTGGCGTAACAATCGTAACTGTTTCGCATCAGTGTGTGACATTCGTATTTTGTTTGAGTGTTACCGGAAATGAGGGGGCGTGGCTTATTTAATTGGCATTTTTTTGGCACAACATGGCAACGCTGTCGTAATACGTGTCGTGATACGTATCACACCGCAATCACACGCTGAATGTGGGAGCTGAATGTGGAAGTCATCGGCCCGATGCCTGAATTTTGCGCGTGACGCGTAAAATTCAGCAACGATTCTCAGCAACCATCGGACCAATTTTGAATTTGTCTGAACTATTCGAGTAGATTTGACACACATCTGGATGAAAATAACTCGAATTTGCTAAATTTCAGCCGTTGGGCGATGACTGTTGACTTCCACATTCAGGTGCTAAATTCAGCGTCTGATTGCGGCATATCTTGCAACGTGCTCGGAGCAGGTCGCAGTGTTACGACTGTTGTGTATTTTTGTTAACAAGGTTTCTAACCTCACCTCTAGCTGCTTTGCTCTCATTGGTTGTGAAAAAGTGACGCAAATAACACAAAATCGGTAGCAGGAAACAATTGTTGCGGCAAAGAAAATACGTCTTAGGTATGCCATAGAGAGTCTGGAACAACATATCAGTTTTTCAAAGAAATTAAAAGTGGAGTAATTTGGGGATCGGCCCGAACGTGACAAAAAAGCGGGTCATTTTTTAGCGTTCCGGCGCTGCGGAGGCGATAACTCGAGTTTAAGCCGACAAAACCCTATGATATTATACATTTTCTGAAAGCACTTCTTACGCTAAAAACGCTCGTTTGAACCGCGTTTCGCAATATTCAGTAGTTTTCGGGTAAAAAATTTGCGAAAATTTCGGTGATTTTCAACTTTGACCCCCCGCCACTTCCCCCCAAAATCTTTGGGGACTTGAAACTTTGGGAAAACATGGGGCATTGTTAGATGAATGAATAGGGCAAGTTTCAATGGTATCCGACACGAGCGTGAAATGGCCCGTTTTGCACGTACCTCTTTTATTCATGTTGTTTTTAAAGATAATTACTAATAATATTTTGAAGATAGATTCAGAAATATTTGGAGGTTATCATTAGTTCATAACATGCTCGTTTTCGCCAATAAGTTTTCAGGCTAGCTTAAAAACACCCGCCACGAATGTTCAGCAAAATTTATCTTTGTTATTTTAGAACAAAAATGTAGACAGCATCATTCGATGATTCGAACTTCACAAATCAAGAAATCAACAACATAATGGCGTCATGAATCAATAAGGATTTCTTCCAACTATCGCATAATGATGTTCTGCAGATTGATTATAGACATTTTTTTGAAGATATCGACAAATGATATGCTGAAGACAACTTCAGTAACATCTTAAAGTTACCATGTAGTCTCTGAATTTTCCGTCAGGGTTCTCTGCAGTCTCTTTTTGAAAGAAAATAAAAGTTAGTGACTTTGGACCTTTGTCACGACGTTTTTTTAAGGAATTTGCATATCTTAAATGAAAGAAAGCATTGATCCCCTGATTTTAAACTTTTTCAAATAAAAAAAATTGAGACTAGCATCGTAAAGTGGGGTATACCGAAACGGTGACTCGAGTCACCTCCTCATTTAATATATTTAACCTCATTTATTTAATCTCTCTAAAAGGCAACAGCGCCCTGCGTACTCTACAATTTAAGTTATTCCAGCCAACACCAAACAAAAAGACAGCTATAACCTATATTATTATTTTGCATAAACAAGAGTCTGATGAAATTAGGTACATTCTTACTCTGATGGGGAATAATAGAATGAGAAGTTCCTTCAGTGGAACTCAGAATTCTTTCAAATCTTCTTTACTAAGAACTGTGATCATTTTCCTCCGAAACAGTGGTGCAATATTGTTACTTGCTTGTTCGGATGCAAAAATTATACTGCCGTATAGCCACCATCAATTGGTAAGTTTGTGCCAGTGATCATTTTAGACCCGTCGCTTAGTAAGAATATTATTGCATCAACAACATCATCTACCTCTGAAAATTAAGGAACACATATTTAACGATTCAGAGGAAATATAACAGTAAGTATTCATTAGTGAATAATAGTTGTAGTTTCAAGTAATTACCTAGAAAGTTTCAAGTTCAACGAGACTCTTCAAGACCTAAGTTTCATACATTTAGGAGTGATTTTCTCACAAAGAAAGATCTCCTCTTGGCGCCACACAAGGTATCTCATTAGTGGCCTTAACTGGAACATAGAGTCCCTTTATACCCAGAGTTACGACAACTCGATAATCAGCTGACTGACAGCCGGCCTTGGCTGGCCATGGAGACCGAAACGAGTGCACCCAAACGAACGATATTGAGGGATAAGGATCAGGAATCCTGCGATGTCTGTCGCACAAAAACAACATCAACAAACTGATCAATTAAAAATAAAATGAGATTGGTTTGTGAATAATTTCTTAATCTATTTTCATTTTGGACCGATGGAAATAACAATTTACTCTTGATAAACCACAATTAGGTAATATTTTCATTATTCTTGTTCACATACGAGGTACCGCCATCTTGGTGCACTCGTTTCGGCCTCCATGAGCGAGAACCAATCAGAATTGGATTTTTTTTTAGGCCACTTTCAGCCCAACCCTGGCCCAATCAAAAGTGAGTTGTCGTAACTCTGGGTATAAAGGGACTCTACTGGAACACTATCAATATGAAGGGTGCCCCAAAAGTCCCGACCACCCCCTTTAAAATTTAACCCAACTAATACTTTGAAACAAAATATTGGGGATGTTCATAGATCAATGTTAGCTACTTTCAGGGTCCCCAAAATTTTCGGCCTCCCGCCCCCTTATTTCTCTAAGAGGGGCTGTAGACCCCAACTTTTTTTTTCAAACAGCAACCACCCTTTGTGACACATTAATCGAAAGAGGATAAAAATAGAAAATTTTCGGCACAAACCGCGAGTCAAAATCTTGCTTTTTGACAAAATGGCGGCCGGTCGAAGTTCAAAATAACGAACCTTTGACATCTTCGTTTTCGTCGATGGATTGGGATGATACCAGGGGTTTTTGGAACGAGATGAAAAGCGATTGTGGCATTAGTTTTTCGGAAAACTCTGTCCTTTTTAAAATGGCGGCGGTCAAAATGGCGACCTAGAGCGGCAAGAGAATATATAGGCCGCTTGTCGGTGGATTTGTATGAAACTTAGTATTCCGGGGGTATTTCAGCATAAGAAAGAGGAATCTGTCATTGGATTTTTGAAATTCTGAATAACTTCAAAATGGCGCGGAAAATGGCAGAAGCTTGCTATTACGGACGTTTACGGATGGATTCGAATGAAACTTGGGGTCCTGTCGGTTTTTGGTTCGACAAAAGTGACTCTTTCGCATTGCATTTTTGAAATGTCAAATACTTTCACAACGGCGTCCGACTTTCATGCGAATCCATCCCGTGAACTCTGTAATACTAAGTTTCATCCATTTTCCGCGCCACTTTGAAATTATTTAGAATTTCAAAAATCCAATGACAGATTCCTCTTTCTCGATACAAAGTTTCATGCAAATCCATCGACAAGCAGCCTAAATAGTCTCGTGCCACTCTAGGTCGCCATTTTGAAAAAGACAGAATTTTCCGGAAAACTAATGCCACAACCGTTTTTCTCGTTCCAATTAAAACCCCTGAGAAACCAAGTTTCATCCCAATCCGTCGAAAAAAACGAACCCTTATTTTAAACTTTCACCGGCTGCCATTTTTTCAAAAATGAAGATTTTGACTTGAAGTTTGCGCCAAAAATGTTATTCTTTCATCTTCTTTCGATTAATGTGTCACAAAGGGGGGTTGCTGTTTGAAAAAAAAAGTTTGGGTCCGTAGCCCCCCCTAGTGAAAGGAGGGCCGGAGGCCGTAAATTTTGGGGGCCCTGAAAATAGCTAACATTGATGTATGAACATCCCCAATGTTTTGTTTCTAAGTATTAATCAAGTAAAATTTTAGAGGGGGTGGCAGGGAATTTCGGGACAACCCTGTATGAATCAATGGCTAAAGTAAAAAAAAAAATGAGCAACTCAGAATCCAAAATAATTATGAAGAAGGTGATTGAAAAGCGGCCATTTTGCTCCCCCCCCCCCCCCNATAGATTTTGTCCGGAGTTGGATACCTATGTTGTTCCTTTTCACGAGACATGTTTTTTTCCGGCAACGGGAAGTACGAAGCTAGAAAATTAAGCTATGAAGTGGGTTGGACGAGAATGTTATAAAAAATGCGCAATTTAAAGATGTGTTCATATTTTGAATGTGTACCATTAATTTTATCATTTTAACATCAATTTTAACATGCATGCCAATACTTCGGGTTTTAAATTCTTAAATTTTTACAAATTTGCAATCATGTCAAAACTTCACATATCGGATCTGAATAAAAAGTTGTACAATCGATAGGTCGTAGGGTTCATCGGTCGCCTCTAAGATTTTCAAATGGTTTTTTGAGTCTATTTTATCCTCTAACTAGGCTAGAGACCACCCGAACTGCTCTAAAAGGAACAATTTTGCATTATTGGGAAGGGGGGGGGCGAGTTCACGCCAACGATTTCAGCGTCAGCGAGTCGCATTTAACCGAGTCTTTCACCATGTTTTGAAGAAATTTTTATACAAATAATTTCGACTGCATCTTGGAAGCATACCCTCGGAGGAGGGGGGGGGGCGAAGCGCCCGACCGAATTCGAGCAGCAGAGCCGGATTTAGGTTTTTGCCGCCTGGTGCCCGAAAAATGTTGCCCCCCCCTCCTACACTCTGTAATGTCTTAAAGAAACACGCGATGCGCACGAAATGCAAGTTTCAAAAACACGGCAAAAGAGAAATCCGATTCTCCGATAGTCAGATAATAATGCACATCTATACGCATAGTCCAGTAAACGAACGCGTATATAGGGGCCGTTTCCGGCCAAAAATTAAAATACGGCTGGACTTAGGCCCAATCGATTCTTCATATGAAATGGTGTTTTTAGCCGAAAGTCCCCATAAATCCCCTCGGGGGATTCCGCACAGTGGTCCGATGAAGTTGAAAATTGGACATATTTTCAAAAATTCACTGCGGAGCGAGAAATAAACTTGGAGAGCTCGGTTTTTTTAAACTGTAGGTAATTA